GATCTGGGTCAGGCTCAGCTAATCTTTACTGTGGTTCACTTATGTGTTTTCAGTTGGCTGCTGGGTTGGCTGGTAGGTGGTTAGCTGTCTGGTGGCTGGTTAGCTGAGATGTGGTCTTGAATTTTCCAGGAAACTAGCCTAGGCTCATTCACATCATGGCAGTGTTTCACACTTAGCAAGCCAGTGAGCTCCAATGCACAGTGCTTTTCTAGCCACTGCTTCTTGTATCACATTTATTAATGTCTCAGTAGCCAAAATAAATTATATGGCCAGTTGAGATTAAGGGGTGAGGAAAAGGACTTGGCCTTTTTAATGAAAAAGCTAGAGAATGGTGGTCATTTTTACAATCCACTACATAGTATTTATTATTATGTTTTTAAAGATTGGAAGGGTTCTGCTTCGTGTGTGTGTGTGTGTGTGTGTGTGTGTGTGTGTATAATATGTATAACAAAATATATATACACACACATATATATGAAGCAGAATCCTTCGAGTCTTTAAAATATAATAATAAATGTGTGTTAATGTTACATATATTATTATATATATTTTATATAATACACACACACAGGGTGCCAAAAAATGTATACATATTTTAAGAAAGGAAAAATGTATTAAAATTGTAATACTCAATATATACTGATAACAAAAGATGAATACAAGTCACATTTGACTTCTGTAATTACAAGAGGTGCTCAAAGTGGTTACCATAAGCATCCAGACACTTCTGATTACAGCAAACTACTGCTTGAGCAACGTTGACCAAAATGTCCACTTGTATACATTTTGTTGGAACCCCTGGTATATGTATGGATGAGAGAACTAGGAAAAAAGAAGAAGGATGAATACATGACAGAGGTGGATAACTGATGAAATGTGACCCCTGAGAATGCAGGAGCTGCTGTGATTCAGAGTATGTAGAGAAAATTTACCTTTTAAAAAAATGAAAAGTCATAATTTTCCTTAGAATAAAGGGAAGGAAATGAGAATAGATCTAGAAAATTTGGATTTTCTCAGTAATCTCAATTTTCCTTGGAGAAGAAGAATCTAGGTTGTCTGTGGAATTGAATGAGGGAATGGTGGAGAATGTTAACTTTTTGGAAGATCTGTCAGTCAGAACAGGAGGTCCAAACAAAAGAAAAAGAAAAACCCCAAAACAACCAACAAAAATGCTGAGAGGTACAGGCCCCAGATGAGACTATAGACCTTAAATTCATAATGATACCAATCCACAGTGTCTCATGCAACTTCCATGTAGATTAGAGAATGTACCCTTCTGCACATGTACAAGGAAGTTTGGCCCCACTTTCACCTGGTGTCCTTGTACAGAACAAGTTTATAAATTAAGTTCAACAGCCCCTCCAATCAACAGATTGTGTTAAATGTTTTAATAGCAGCTTTAAGTAGACTAGGTCTAGGAACATAATGGCAATTGGTGGGAATGATTTAAGACTGAAGATTTGCCGAGTGAGTTTGTAAAAGAACAAGATGGCTAGAATGTTGACAATACTGGTAAGAAGGTTGAGATTGAACAAAGTATGACTGAAACCTAAAGTGCAAAATAGCAGATGAGTGAGATGAGATTGGGTAGCAACAGAGGGCTCAATCATGAAGGAAAGATCTTTAGTTCATGGTAGAACAGAAATTATTGATGACATCTTGAGTTTAGGTGTACTTTGATCAGATTTTTAGTAGATCAACCTGATGATAGGTTGAATGGGGTGCAACTAGGGGTATGAATACCAGAAATATTATTTTTTGGGTTGTTGGAAAAGTCATGATGCATTTTTGCAATGAAAAACATAGAAAAAATACATAATGATTTTTCCAACAACCCAATAAATTGTCCAGGTAAGAAAGGCTGAGAATCTGCCTACTGGTATTTATTACAAGTAGAAGAAAACCAATCCACAGGTAAGTTTAGGAGGCCAAGCTTCCATCATATCATGATTGTATGTGAGGACAGAGGGGAATCTAGAGTTTCTCCCTTTCATGACTGTACAGATTCAGGAAGAAAGGCACAACTATGTGGGACCCACATCTGGTGCTGTCAAAATTTAGAACATCAGGTAAGGGCAGATCAGGTAGCTTTAGCTTTTTTTCAGACGCTTTGATACCTTATAGACACATTAGGAAAAAATGAATATATATATGAGAGCACTCAATTTAGATGGACTAAAATTGCAAGGCAGCTCCACAATAGAGATTGGTTGTTGAAATAACTGATGATTTCTATTACAGGATCCAAGGGCAGATTTATTTACTTTTTTTAATGGATTTTCTTAAGGTTTTAGCTTTTCTTTTATTGGTAATTACAGATACTTTTCATTTTCTATATTAAATAGCAATCAACTATTAGAAACAGAACTAGTTCCTACATGATTAGGTTTTTGCCCCATTTTGAAAAAGCTGAAATGTATACTGCTCTATACATAATAAGGTTAGAATTTTGACAAAAATAAAACTGGATTCATGGTAGGAGAAGGTGATTTTTTTTATTAGTTTCAAGTATATAAAACAACACAATGATTAGATATTTATATACCTCCCAGAGATAACCCCAGTAAGCCTATTACCCATCGACACTCTACATAGATAGTTATTATAATATTGTTGACTATACTCCCTGTGCTGCACTTTACATTCCCATGACTTGTTTTTATAATTATAGTTGACATTTAATATTATTATTTAATATTAGTTTCAGGTGTCGAGCATATTGGCAAGAGTAGATTTAGGATTGAGATTGTCCACTTGATGACAACAGAGCATTACAAGCATCCTCTGTTACTGAGATTGTTGTGAATGTATTCCAGAGTTCAGGATAATCTTTCAGAGTTTTGAGAATGACTTTGGAGGAGGTATGTGGTAAGGGGGCTCAAGGATTCAAAAGATGGCTGGGGATTGGAGAACACAGATAGGGGTAGCTCTGAGAGATGTTTGAGGCAAAGGAATCAACAAAGATCAGGTTAGAAATAAATAGTGGAGAAGAAGCAGAACAGGTTTGAGGGAGAAGGGATTAGAGCGTCATTACCAAATGTAGGATATAGCACAGGAGTTATTAATGGGAAAGTATGAAGGGATGAAAGTAATTTGTAGACATCAATAGAGAAGTTGATGTAAACCCCTAGTAAGGGATTTACAGGGAAAAGGTAAAATGAAGGACCTAGTCTGAGCTACTCGACTGAGCATTTGACAGCTATCATTCTTTCTTTCTGCATAAAATTATTTATTTCCTTAGCTCCTCATTTTAAATACTTATTAATGATAGGAAAATGAATCTTTTTCATTAAACAATGCACTCTTCATTCCTGGGAATTTTATAAAAATATGCTGCCACATTTTTATATTAGTATACATTAGGATACCATCAGGATGTATTTGCAAATTAGAAATTAATGTATTACAAATACATATTAATATATTGAATAGGAAAATATGATAAAAATTATATTAAAATTAATACAAACATAATAAACATTCTTAGACTTTTGAATTTTTCTCTTAGAAGTTCTTCAATAATCAACTGTTGAAAAGTATAATAAAATTATGAATTACTTATATTAGGTAAAATATGACTTAATGTAGTAGAGAGTTTGGTAATTAGAAGCCATTCTCTTAAGTAAGTTGGGGGAAACAGTCTTTTCCTTTGAATGAGACCCTTAAAGTTGCAGCCCTATGATTTGAACATGATACTTTGGTGGATAATCAGGGTTAATTAATGACTTTGTCATATAAATTGAAGTTATTTAATAGCATGACTAAAAAGGTAATGGGATTTTTGTGGCTGTTATTATTAATTTACAAAATTCTTTTCCAAAAGCTGTGGCATAGCAAGAAACAAGGCAACCTACAGAGACTTGAAATTTCTTTATTCCTTCAGTGATTTTTTTGTTGTTGTTAATTACTATGGTCATACATTTTCCTGCTTTGTAATGCAAAAAAATAAAAATGCATATAAAATCACTTAATAAATAAATATTCATTAATTCTCTAAATTCTTTATTACACACAAATAGCTTTCTTTCTCTTATGGATTGATGGAATAAAATCTATAATTTTGAAAGGAAACCTCTGTTTAAAAGATTTGGCTTCAGAATCACTTAAACTTTCAGTATTTGTTTTAAAATCCTGGGTGATATTTAAAATAGCACAAGAATACATGCACCCAGTTATTTCACAGGCTGTCCCTAGCTTCTTTGAAAAATAATACATTATTTCTTTATTATTATTTTTTAATTTGATGCGGATTGGTGGGCTGCATTGTTTCCGGCAGATTACTCTGGCTTCTCTTGATATGAAAGAGTATGTATTCCTTTCAGCATAACCAAGTTGTTTGTTATATGTTCATCCTGGCAAATAATTAGGGAAAATATTTTTTGTAAGCTAAAACTCTGTCTCTGTTTTAGACTTTGCTTTCTCTCTCCTTGTTTATCATACTATGTTGATATTGGGTGCTGCATCTTTTGAATTCTGGGCATTTTTTTCAGGTTCACAATATATAGGAGTAGTCCAAGTTTTTAGAATTTTAAACATGTGAAGTATGCTAAATTTTTTAAGGATTATAGTCATTATTGTGTTATGGTTTATATTCTTACAATGGAAGAAAACTATTTTCCAAAGTGAATTTTGAAATTTATATTGACCATAATTTAATTTTTTTTCAAATTACAGAATCCCAAATTATGAGAACTATTGTAGGTTTTGTCACTGAACTATTTTCCAAGTGTTAATATGTAAATACAATTTAATGTTAATGTTCATTCTGGGGAATAAGTGAGCTATAGTAGACAATACGTCACAGTTTATATTTTATTTGAAATTCAAAACAATGTCTCATTAGCAAAGCAGAGTTTCTTCCATTTTTTAATGGAGTTTTAAGGGGCCTCCTTTGTTGTAAATGAATAGGACTGTGGGCATAAACACGCAAATGCCAAGACTATTTTGATAGTTCCACAAATAACATCCTATTACAATCTGTCTATTTCTCTTTCCTCTAGTTAACTTCTTCTTCCACTACCTCTGAGCAGCTTGCCTGTAAACCACCTGCTTTCTCCTTTGTGTCTCCAACTAATCCGAAAACACCACCTGGCCCAGCTAACCTCGACGGAGCCTCTGTGCTAGAGGAGTTCCACACTAGGAGGCTGGATGTCGGTGGGGCTTTGGTGGAGGAATCAGCTACGTATTTTCAAACTTCTGCTCACTCTTCACCCTTTTCTGCATCGAAGGGTACCTTCTCGACGCTGCAGTTTCCCCACTCCACTCAGTTACCGGGTCCTAAGCTATCCAGCCCCAGTGCCGCCGAGCAAAAGCCTGGACTGACATCTGAAGTGCTGAAGAACACGGCATCGTTAACCTCGCGTGTCCCTACCCCCGGAGAAAGTCTGAGAACCTCTTCTCCTTCACGCTCCTCCGGTGCTTCTCTGAAGTCCAATCCAGCCTCCTACATACCAGTCCGTATTGTCATGCATTCACTCTCTCCAAGCCCCAAACCCTTTCCCTCCTCTTTCCACGGCTCTTCTTCCACTATCTGTAGCCAAGTGTCATCTAGTGGAAATCTTTCCAAGGCAGGGGTGAAATCCTCAGTGCCCTCCCGGCTTTCCTTTCTCACTGCCCTCCTCAGGTCAGACCCTTCTCACCAGAGGCCCTTTTCCCCTGCGTCCTGTCCCACTTTCTCTCTCAACTCCCTGGCTTCTTCCACGCTTACACTCGATCAAAAAGCAAAGGAAACCTCACCCACACCTAAAAAGTCTCTCTCGAGTTGCTCACTGAGAGCCGGGTCTCCAGAGCAAAGGCAGCACCAGGTTCCCGACCTTAGCCAGCAACCCTTTCACTTGCCTTTTCAGAGCAAATCTGCTCCCCTTTCCCAGGCGCCCTCCCCTTCTCCCACCGAACATGTCAGTAGCAGCCTGGTTTCTTTGAATGTAGAGAAAACAGCAGCATCGCCCACTTCTTTGAAGAGCTATCCAACGTTCTCCCTGCTGCACACAGATGCACCGAGTCCTACAGGTCTTCCTCCTGTCCCACCAAGCTTTTCTTCTTTTTCTTGGAAGGGCAAAAGGGATGCTGACCTCGGGGGTTCCGAAAAGCCCCGGAGTATTTACACGTATCCCTCTACATCAGCTTCCTCTCCATTATCTTCTGAATTTCCCACTAACCGAAGAGCTGCACTCTCGTCTCCAGAGAAATGTTTCTGTCCTTCCCCAGCTCTTTCACACCTGATAAACAGATCCCAGAGAGCATCTGCACAGCTATCTGGCCCGGGGCAGAACCCTTCAGCCTCTGTCTCTAGTGCTAGCTCTGCCTCTCTACCCAAATTGGGGTCGTCCCCTCTCCCTCACGCTAATCTTCCCGCCCAGGCGCTCCAGCTCAGTCCCTCAGCACTGCACCCACATGGCGGTGGTACCCTGCCTTCGCGACTTGGGAGATCTGAAAGCTCCGGGTCCGACCACAGGTCATCTGTTTCAACCCCATCACCTCCCATCTCTCTAACAAGAACCAAGGAGCTGATTTCACCTTGTGCACTATCCATGCCAACAGGCCTTGAAAATAAGACACCCAAGGTATCTTTTGCACGTTGCATGGTGCATGCGGTTTTTTGAAATATGGAAGAATCTTTTTTTTTCCCCCCAGGGGAAAAAGATAAATAATTCTGACATTCATTGTGCTCCTCCAAGGAGGTAGAGAAAGTGCAAGAGGCTCTAAGATTTGTTTTATTTGAACGTGAAGATGAATTATAATCTCTCTAAAATTGTGCATGTTTCTGTAAAACGCTTTGATTTTGTAAATCCTCCTCTTATGGTGACTTCTTATAGTTATAGCTTCAGGCATAATACGAGTTATATATCATTGATCCCAGAGATGGAATTTAAAGCCGCTAGTTGCGATTTGGAAATATGATACACTTCTAATTTTTTAATAATATGGAGCCTATTATCCTGTACTGATAGAATAGTAGAAAGGGTTGGTGGAAAGTGGAATATTAACTTAGATCTAGGCCCATGTTCTTGCCAACCCAATTGGAAAACTTTCTATTTTCTTTGCCATCATTCATTTATAACTATTAACTTTCTTCCCCTTCCATCAGGTTGATTTCTTTATTGCTCCCTATACCTCAAGCGAAATCAATGTGGATTTAGCTATATGCATATAGGGTAAAAGGGAATAGAAATGTCCTTTGTATGTGAAAATTATTTAATTTACAATAAACGCTAAAAACTTAGTAATTATGAAATACAGAAAGAATAGACAGGCTGGGGATAAGGAATCAGAATTAAGAGGAGAGATATTGGCTTTTAATTGCTCTGAAGCCACTCATTGAACACAGGTGTGAACTGGCATTTATTTTAATAGAAGGGAAATACTTGAAGGAGTGACCCTTAGAGTTGTTTTCTTATGGTGGAAGGCAACTTTGTTGTAAAGCTTGCCAGCTTCCGAACTATTCTCAAATAATTTAGAATGTGGATCTTATACACCCAGAAATTGGTCATAGTTTATAAATAAAATAAAATTATGAAAATGCCTGTGTTAGGAAGGAACTGGGATTTTTGGTTTGGTGCATTGAAATAACACGGTTTTAGAGCTTCCAAGTTCCATGGAGATTGTGTTAAACTCTGTCACTGTTTGAAAGATGAGCTTAAGATGGGAAAGATAAAAAACCACAGGCTCTTGTTAATGATGTTGCAATATAATTAATCTTAGAAAGCGTTCATTAAACACCTGTATGCTTTTTTTTGAGATGTGTGTGTGTGTGTGTGTTAAAGGAAAATAAGAATTTTTTGTCTAAAAAAATTCTGTTCAGCAGAAAAAAACATACATATATAATGTGGAAAAAGCTATATAGAGTTATTAAATCTACAATAAACATACATATGTAATGTGGAAAAAGCTATATAGAGTTATTAAATCTACAATAAAGGTAGAAAACAAGTACAAGGACATAGTAACATAGTATAATATAGATCATATATATTTGTTCACTGCATTTGATATAATGGAAATATTATTGAGATATGGTTAGCGAGGGAAGTTATTATAAATGTCAGACCTGTTGGAAATGTTTAGTGTTTATCTTAATGTAGAGGAAAGGAGTTAGTATTTCAGAAATGGTAAACAAACTGACCAAATATACAGAAAGTGATTCCAGGGGAATATATGTGGAGACATAAGAAGGTTGGCCTATCATCATATTGTGATAATAGTAATGATAGTAACATATATCAAATACTCTCTGTGAGTCAAGAAATAGCCTAATAGTTATGCAGAATAGTTAAAACTTAATTAGAAAGGACTATGTCAGTTAATTTTTATGACCTTATGAGATTGGTAATATTATTTTCTCCATTTTACACTCCCAAGAAAGTGAAGTTCAGTGAATAACTAGCCCAGATCAGATATCTTGTATTGGCAAAGCTGACGTGTATATTAATTTAAGTCTACTGATTCTAGAAGCCCTGTTCTTTATTACTATGCTTTATTGCTATGGAACAAAAACTCATGTTAATTATCATTTAGCCTTATTTAATAATTCTCATGAAGGAAATCATCATTATTATGAAATAGGAATTGTCAGAATTATTAATTTATATATTATTTGGGTCATTTAAAACATGTATTTTTAGATATTATTAAAGTCTTTGTATTTTAAACTTTGAAAACAAATGGGGTGTAGAAAATCACTTTCTGTAATTCTAAATTAGAAAATCTTATTTATTTAAGGTTGAATAACTTGATGATTATCCTTTCAATACATATGTATGATTATGGAATTCATTTGTGGTGTATTAAAAAAAAACCAGCTGGTATTCTAAACATTACCATGTCCTGAATTTATTCATAATTATTTCTTAAACCATACTGCTATACACTTAAATTATTCATTACCTTTGTGGAAAGTGATTTTACTCCAGAGGCTATTTCAAAGTGTTTCTGTTTGTGGTTCACTTTGCTTCATTCATTCATGTTTTGTCCTGTTTTACGAGAGTTGGAAGAGAGGGTTGGCCCCAGGGGCTTTTTATAAAGTCAATTCCTTTTTTGTCCTAAAACCAAGTTTGTTGAAGACATGTTATTCCACAGCTCACTTATTGCTCCCAATATTGAAGAATTTTCATCATTTGTTTTATATTCTTTATTTCCAAGTTAAAATTCAAGCTTATAGAGCTGCATGATAAATTTGATATACATAGAATATGAAAATATAAAGAATGATTATAATTTATCTAACTTTAATCTGTTGCTTTGAACAGTAAAATATATTTCTTATAATGGGTAAAATTTATAACTTCTGCAAAAATAGTCGTTCTTGGAGACATGCTGTTCTTTATTTATTTCTTCCTTGCTTCCTGTTATTATCTCTCCAGGTAAAAGTCAGTCTACATAATTTTTTATTGCACACTATTAATTGCAGAAATTGTAACTTGAGTATCAAAAATTCATTAAAATGGATGTTGGAATAGATACATCTTATCCCCATTTCTTTTGATGTTTGAGTAGTTTTCTTTAAGTTGCTATGATTTTTTTATAGGTTGATAGGAGGAGATAGATAAAAGCTTTGGGATATCAAAGAATTTATATGCTTTTATGGATTGTGTTTTGTCTTGCTCCTTCCACTGCAGTGTTAATTCAAACACAGGGCTATCTTTTTTAAGTCAAAGAGCTTCAGATTTAAATCAGTTTCACTTGGTGCCAGATCCCAAAAGGAAAGAGGTCCTGGAATACAAATGACCATCAAATTAAAACATGACTGCTTGAAGGGTATTAGTTCAAAGTCTGAGCCCTGCTGGCTTTTGATATTAAAATAAAATGGAACAGCTAAAGTATGCTGAGCTAAATTCAGATATGAAGTATGTTTAGTGTTTCTTTTTCATAGATCCAATCTTAAGGTTCTGAGTCTGTTTGCATTAGTTTGATCTATTTTAGTTTCAGATGTAGGTAAAATTATTATTTCACATTATGATCATGGCCCTACACACGAGGGACATCTCCCTGAATGCTGCTCAGGCTACGCTTTGATCAACATCTATGTTAGTCTGAGATGGTTTTTCCCTTTGCGAAAGTCTGAATATCAAAAATTAATCCATGGAGTTGTATTTGGATTCCAATATATTTTGCTTTCATTTATGAAACAGTTTAAATTGTCTCCTAGTAAGTTATCATAGTGTTCCATATAGGAATTTGGGGTGGCCATTACATCAAAACCTCATATATTTTGTCACTCGCCAAAGATGGTTTGAGCTTCTTTCCTGACTTTAGGCGCTCCTGTGGCATGCATGCCCTGGCCTTATAGTTATTAGACACATAACATGTTCAAGGAATTGGTTGGAAGCTTTTTGGTTTTTCTTGAAGTGTTATGGCTGGTGTTTTATTAATAAGCTCTCATTCCTTTAAGGCATCAAAATATTTCCAAATACACGACACTGGAAACTTGGTGGCAACTGTCTCTATGTAACTTTCTCCATTTCTACTGATCTATATGTAATTTGGGAAATGAACAATATTAAATGTACCTCTCTGTTAGCTAAAATAGTTAATCTGGGTTCAAACAAATCATTCAATAAAAATGCATTGAGTGCGTATTATGTGCAAGGCACTTTTCTAAGTTTTAAGGATACTGCAACAAATAAAATTGCAAAAATGCCTGTTCACAGAAAGTTTATATTCTGTGGTGGAAGAGAAACAGTCACCAATCACCCAGTCAAATTAGTAAATTTTTCTCATGTGTTGGAAAGTCATATGAGACATGGAGAAAAGTATGGCAGGGCAAGGGATGGTGTCACAAATCATATTGGGCATTTAAGATAGGCTTCTTTCAGAAGGTGACACACAAATACATGAGGATAGTCAGGAAAAATGCCTGAGGCCAGAGAATGCGTGGCAGTTACAAAGAACTGATAGGGGAGCCAGTGTAGCAAGAGTGGAGTGAGTGAGGGGAAGTTGAGATTGTCAGAGATGTAACTGGAAGTTGGGCTCTATGAGGTCTTGTAGGCCACTTCCTCGAAGTCTTTGATTTTTAATCTGAGAAAGACTGGAAGCCATTGGAGGGGTTTAAATAGATAATTGGCACAGTTTTATCTAGCTGGCTGCAGTGTTTAGAACAGACTATGAGAGGGTGAGAGGGGAGGTAAGGCCACCTGAGGCTGTTGCAACAATCTAGGCAAGTGATGGTGGCTCCAGTGAGATTACAGAAGTGAAGGAGAAGATAATATTTCTGTATATATTTTGTAGGTAGAGTAACCAACTTTCAGCAATTTTTAGAGCCAGCCATATGTAAAATGGTAAAACTAGACATAAATAATTTCTTCCTTTTATCCCACTTCCTTCTCTTTTACTCTCCTCTCCCCCCCTCCCCCCCACAAAGTTCTTGGTGCCTTTCTGGGGAGTCTAGATTTTTCTTGATTTTCCCATCCCTGCTATCTGTCACTTCCATCTCTATACTAACCAATGCTGTGCCCCATCCCCTTTGATTCTCTCTAGCTAGCTTTTCTGAGTTGATCTTAGCAATGATTTACACTCAAGTATCAATGATTAACCAAAGCATCTTCTTCTTCATCCCTTGAGGAGTATT